CAATAAATATTTCAGTGGCAGTGAGGCTGGCTTTCCAACAGCCCCGCCGCACTCTGCCATCCATTATTCAATACATTTCCCTCTATAAACACGGAGGTGAATAATTGATGGGGGGGGCTCAGCCTCCCCTCATCCCCTGCCCCAGCCAGTGCATGGTACGGGGTCTTTCTGGTGTGCTGCCCATCCTGCCTGCACCCTGTTTGCTGGAGCTGTGCCAAACCCTGACGATGATCTTTAAGGTCCTTTCCAACCCAAACCATTCTGTGATTCTATGATTCTATGAGGCTGGAGGGCACTGGGCTCCCAGCAGCACCCGGGGACACGGTGAGGAGCTGGAGCCCGGGGAAGCAGCATCTTGACCATGGACTAGGGGACAGGGACGTAGTCCCCAAGCCCTGAGGGATGGCCAGTACGTCCATCTGGCAGTGGCTGATGAGACCTGCGGACCCTCTTCATCATCAGTTCCCCCCGAAATCAAGATAAAAATGAAGCAAATATTTTATCTGCTCGATTTGGGATGGAGATAGCCAGGCACTGATGGAGGGGCACTGCAGGAGCAGCATCCCGGCCGGCGATGCTCATGGCTGAGGTCCGTGGGCTCTGAGGACGCACCCCAGGGGGATGTCTGACAAGCAGGGCGCAGCCTAGATTCCCTGCTGCCCCCAGCCCATCGACTCCACCTTCACAGCATCCCTGGCCCCACCCAGCCCTCCTAGAGCAGTCAGGGAGGGGAGCAGCCACCCGAAAAGTGCCATGGAAGAGCCCAGGAGTGCAGACAGCTGCTAACAGCACAGCCAGCAAACCCCCCAGGGTGCTCGATGTGCAGTGTCTCCTGGGGACACCCTCCCCGGCACAGCGGGGCCGTGGGATGGGGCTGGTGGGAGCTGCTGGAGCCTCTCCCACTGTGTGAGTGGCAGTGGCACGGATGTGCCTGCAGATAGCCCAGCCCGGTGGCACCAGCACCGTGAGAGCCCAGCCTCCGGGGACGAGCCCAGCCCTGTGCAGACAGTCTGGCGCCGCTCCCTGCTCGGATCCAGCCTCTGCTGCTTCGACTCACGCTGCCCGGCAGAGGAGCTTGGCCTCTGGTGCTTGGGTGTGTGTTAAATTCACTGGAAAGCAGGAGGAGAGGAGGGGAAAGAAGGAAGAAACTTAAAACCGGCAGCTCGGTGCTTGGCAGCAATTAGGGAAGCAAACAGAATGTGCACCAGGGTGTCTAACACAGCCGCACAGCACAAATCCCAGCAGATAATTACCAGGCGGCATGGAAAGCCTGTCGCTCCTGCATGGAGCCCACAGCCAGAGCCATTCAGCACACTGGCTGCCCCCAGGGAGAGGGCAGGTGGTGGCAGAGGGACAGCCTGGGGCCTCGGGAGCCCAGGGGTACACTCATGGGAGGAGAGACAGATGCTGACAAGTCGCTGGACTGAAACACAGACGGGGGAGGTGTTGGCAATGTTTACAACCAGCTCAGACCTCGGCTGGTCCCCCAGGCCAGGCTCAGGGAGGACTGAGCGGATTCAGCAGCTCTCCCAGTCCTGCCTTGGAAAGCTGAGCCAGGTCCCCCCTGCCCCGGGCACTGAGGCTGCCTGTCAGAAATCCCAAACCATGAATGAGCTGGGAAGTCCCTTCAAACAGAAAGACAGCCAGAGATTCAGGCCTTCTGGGCATAGGCAGGCTCCGGGCAGTGGCGGGCGGGGGGGGGGA